TCCAATAAAAAAGTGGGCTACAGAAGTAAATAGAGAATTCTCAATAGAGGACCCTAAAATTGTTGAGAAACACTTAAGAAAGTGCTCAACATCCTTAGCCATTTGGGGAATGCAAATCAAAACAACTCTGAGGTACTATCTTACTCCTGTCAGAATGGCTAAAATTAAAGACACCAAAGACAATTTATGCTGGAGAGGATGTGGAGAAAGGGGAACACTCCTCCCCTGCTGGTGGGAGTGCCAACTCATACAACCACTTTGGAAATCAGTATGGAGATTCCTCAGGAAAATAGGAATCAGTCTACCACAAGATCCAGCAGTTCCACCCAAATACAACAAGGATGTCTGTTCCACTATGTTCATAGCAGCATTATTTGTAATAGCCAGAACCTGGAAGCAGCCTAGATGCCCCTCAACTGAAAGGTAGATAGAGAAAATGTGGTATATTTACACAATGGAGTATTACTCAGCAGAAAAAAATGGAATCTTGAAATTCGCAGGCAAATGGATGGCACTAGAAGAAACCATACTGAGCAAGGTAACCCAGTCATAAAAAGACAAGCATGGTATGTACTCACTTATATATGGATTTTAGACATGGATCAGGGGATTGCCAGCCTACAATCCCACTGCCAGAAAGTCTGGGAAACAGGGAGGACCCTAAGAGAAATATGCATGGTACCTCAGAGAATGGGAATTAGGCAGGATCTCCTCTGGGGATTGGGAGCATGGGGGAGGGGAGAGGGAACTAGGAAAAAGAGAGGGGGAGAAGAAAAGGGGAGAAGAGGACATGAGGGAGCAAAAAGGTTGATCAGGGGAAGAATAGATAGAGTAGGAAGAGAGATACCATAATAGAGGGAGTCATCATAGGTTTGAAGAGAGATCTGGCACTACTGTGATTTCCCAGAGATCTACAAGGATAATACCAATTGGCAAACTAAGCAATAGCGTAGAGGCTACCTTAAAAGCCCTTCCCCAATAATGAGATTGATAACTACCTTATATGCCATCCTAGAGCCTTCATCTAGTGGCTGATAGATAGAGAGGCAGATACCCACAGGTAAACAGTGAACTGAACTCCTGGAACCCAGTTGCAGAGAGGGAGGAATGATGAGAAAAAGGGTCAAGACCAGGCTTGTGAAGCCTACAGAAACAGTTGACCTGAACAAGGGGGAGCTCATGGACCCCAGACTGATGGCTGAGAGGCCAGCATGGGACTTATTGATACCCCCTAAATTTGGGTGTCAGTGAGAAGGCCTTGGCAATCTGTGGGGCCTCAGATAGTAGATCAGTATTTATCCCTGGCATCCATATGGACTTTGAGAGCCCATTCCACAAAGAGGGATGCTCTCTCAGCCTGGACACATGGGGGAGGGCCAAGGCCCTACCCTAGAAGAAATGATAGACTCTGGAGATCCCCCATGGAGGACCTTACCCTCCCTGTGGAGCTAAGTTGGGATTGGTTGGGGAGGTTGTGAAGTTGGAGGGGGGCAGGGGATGAGGGGAGGAAGAGGGAACTGGGATTGACATGTGAAACAAGCTTGTTTCTAATTTAAATTTTAAAAAAAGAAGAGAGAGACTACTTCCTGGCACAGCTCTTTTAAGAGACCCTGCTATTGAACAATTAAATGGGATTTATGAGCAGCAGGTAGCACACTACTTGGTGACAGCATGGACCCAAAAACTCCCCAGAGTTGGGGTGGTAAATGTGGCTCACTCCCTCCAGTACCTCCACCATGGAGGTAGGTTCTGAGGGAACCAAGCAGAGTGGAGCCAGTTGCCAAAGCAGAGGCTTTGGTCCTAGCTATGCCCATTAATTGTTTAAAGGTTCATGTAGCCAGAAAAAGATTATAGATTGCAATAAACAGCGATTTAGACAGAAAAAAAGAGCCCTGTAAATGGGTTACAGATACATAGGCCTGGGAGAGAAAAAAGAAGGTATAGACAGTCATAAAAAGAAATATATAGCCGGGCGGTGGTGGCGCACGTCTTTAATCCCAGCACTCGGGAGGCAGACGCAGGCAGATCTCTGTGAGTTCGAGGCCAGGCTGGATTGACAGCCTCCAAAACAATACAGAGAAACCCTGTCTCGTAAAACCAAAAAAAAAAAAAGAAATATATAGTTTTAAAATTATAGTAAAGTCCTTAAAGGGGGAATAAAGAAATTTAGAAGAAATAAGCCACATAAAGATGAAAAATACACAGAAAGTCTGGATCCTATATGTCATTGTGTTCTCTTTAAATTCTTTGACTGCTAAGAGAACTGGATTATAAAAAGTACTAGATTAAGCCAACCTATATATTTTAAAAATATCTTGACTTAAATATTTAAGTAAAAGTTTGTTGCTTTCAGGGTGAGGTTATGCTTTTATTTCCACGAAAAAAATAAAATACTGTGGATTCTTTCAAAGTTGAAGATAATCAGATTTGATCGATGAAGACCCCTGAAAATCCTGACTACAAACAAAGAAATAAACCTAGAAAAACTACAAAACATGTGATGCATATTTTACCCACTCAAACACATAACAAAAAATCATCTTTGGTTGACTCATGTACAATGCACAGTCTACACTTGTATTAATGAAGACATATATGTTACCTTTAAATTTTTATGTACTTTCAGAATGAGGAGACCAGACATCGATAAAAATGGATGGTCTCTGTAATCCATCATTCAAAACAGCTTCAAGTCAGCTGACTGAGATGATCTAGCCTCACAGAGTACTACAGCCAAGACTTAACCATTATCCTAAATTTTCTCAGGGTCAAAGATTACCAGTGCCCTCAGACAAGAGGAAGTAGTTTGGAGAACAATGCACACATTTCCAAAAATAGGTTATGGATATTTACCATTCAAGGGAGTGGGCTACAAGTTGTTATTGGTTATAGCCAAAAAGAAAAGGAAAAAAGCTAAACAAATGAGATGAAATTCAGAGATCTCATTCTAAAAAGAAAAGGAGGGCATAGAAATGATAGGATGAAAGGGTAGACTATTGATCTACTTTTAAACTAAAAAAGCAACTACTAATCTTAAATATTTTATACTGGAATGGATTTTGGTTTATTGATACAAACTTAAGTTTAAATTTTAAGTATGTATATTTCTACTCTTGTTTAGGGTTTTATGTTTATGCACGTCATTTAAAATGTATTGTATAATCAAGAAATACATATTAATAGTCATGTATATTAGTCGTGTTGGGTATGTTTTCAAGGTCATAACATAGATATATTTAGATAGATAGATAGATAGATAGATAGATAGATAGATAGATAGACATACAGATGGATGGTCTTCAAACACTTCAGAGACCTACAGAATATGGCATTTAATATTTTAATAACCTAAGGCTTTTCATGACAGTTGAGACATGTCTGCTCTTGGCAAAACCAATCTACTTCAGAGAATATGACAGGCATTGAAGAAACTCCGTATGGAGTTGCAAAAGCTAGCCATTTAGGAAAGAAAACTGCCCTTGTCTCAATTACTGACAGTATACTGTTCAAACTGGACCAGCAAGAAGCAAAAGAAAGTGATTGCTAAACTTTGCTAAGACAAGGTAGGACAGTCCTTCAAAGTTTCCTGCTTCTCAGAAATGTCTGTCCTTTGGCCAAAGTTGGATGCCCCAACATTATAGAAAAGCCTAGAGTGACTGTCTAGGCAGCCAGATGTCCCTGTCATTAGGTAACATTCTACCCTCTGGGGTCTTTGACAGAGTTGAAGACTAGATACCATAGTCAAAGTTTTCCTTAGTTATGATGAAAGGTAAATTAGGTATAAAACTTTAGACTCACAAAGATAATAGAGTATTTTCTCTAATTTTGCCAAATAAAAATGGTCTGGGTGTTGTAACTAATTCTTACTTAATAATTGTTTTGTTATTAATGATATAACTATGTTAATATTAAAACCTTTATTTTTAGTTAGACAAAAGGGAAAAACACTGTGGAATAATCCATCCATATACTGTGAATATGCATTATTCTGATTGTTTCAATAAAGAAGCTGACTGGCCAATAGCTGAACCCTGTAAGGTTAGGCAGGAGAGCCAAACTGAGAATGCTGGGAGAAAGAAGGGTGGAGTCAAAGAGATGCCAGCTGATACAGGGAAAGCAGGATGTATAGAAAATGAGGTAACAAGCCATGAACCACATGACAGAGGGTAGATAAGGAATATGTTCATTTAAATGTAAGAGTTAGCTGGTAACAAGCCTGAACATTTGTAATTAATATAAGCCCTAGTGTATTTATTTGGGAACTGCTGGCAGTAACTTCTGCCTATAGAACTCACCTGAGGAGTTTTCAAAATAGTTCTTAAGTGATCCTAACTATGCTTGTTCTTCAATTTTGTTCCCATAGCACACTATAAAAGCTGCACAGTCTTGTGTCATGGAAGCCCCTGATAAAAGGACTACGGTTATTCTGTGAAGATCTCACTGTGAGCACTCATGCAAGCCCCTCCCCCTTTAAGTAGGCTTAATTTTTAAAACTGCATTTATGGGGATTGGATAGATGACTCAGCAGTTAAGAGCACAGGCTGTTCTTCCAGGGACCTGGGGTTCAGTTCTCAGCACCCATGTAACAGCTCACGATTTTCTGTAGTTCCAAAGCCATCTTCTGGCCTCTGTGGGCACCAGACACTCATGTGGCACACAGACATACATGCAGGTAAAATACCCATACACATAATAATAAATTTAAATTACATGTATGTATGTGTGTGAGCCCACATACTGTAACAATCATGTAGAGATCAAGGACATGTGGGAGCTGGTTCTCTGTTCTCACCACGTGGAAGGTTGCCAGGCATGGTGACAAGTGCCTGGCCTGCTGAGTCCATGAGTCTTGAAGACTCTTTAAAGAGGTCTTAACCTCATTAATAAAGGAAGAACTCTAATGGCCTTATCTCTTAGAGAATCCTTTACCATATTGCCCGAACAAGGTTAGGGAGTCCTTCAAAGCACAGCAGTAACTACCAGAAGAAAATTAGAAACACTGAATGTCAGTCAGCTTTATTAATACTTTATATATTTGAAGAAATGATTAACAAAACAAGTTTATCCATTTTTTAAAGTCATACAAAAGGAAATAATGAAAAAATACTGTTCTCAGACTTTTTACAAACAATTTCATTTGAATGTGGGAGCCAAGTTTATTAAATTGAAAAAGAAATTTAAAATGTCTTTGGAATGTAGAGCCTTAAACTTAGCACAGGAAAATACTTTTTTGGAGTTCAAGGTTCAAATAAGCCATGCTTTTTAAATTCTTGCTATTACAGATTTAATAACACTGGTAGGGACACATAACTTCTTACATGGATTAGACCAAGGGTAACCTTAGTGTATAAACTAAAAATGGAAATGCATGAGCTGAAGTATTACATTATTGAACTGCTTAACAGGCAAGCTGTCAAAACTTCCTAGAAGGCAGGAAGCAGAGCTAATAAAGACTGGTCTTCCTCATCATCCTCAAAAACTCTTCCTCGTTGATCTCTCCATCCCCATCACGATCTGCTTCATCGAGCATTTCCTGTAACACAAACGTAACATGATAGACTGAAACCATTAAAAATGTGTAATGGTGGAAACCCAACAGGAATTTTTGTTTTTACTGTGTAAATACAGCAGTTACATAAACCATGTAAAATCACATGCACGTTGTAATTTTAAAATAAACACGATTTACCTGCAATTCATCTTCTGTTAAGTTTTCCCCTAGTTCCTTGGCAACCCTCTTGATATTATTTAGTGATATGCTGCCAGTAGCATCGTCATCAAATAATTTAAAAGCCTTCAGTATTTCTTCCTTCTCATCTTTTTCACTCTTAGAAAAGAAAATGTCACTGGTTATTTATTTGTTCTATCAAGCTGGACTTAGTAGGTCTATTAATTCTAGAGCTCTGTGTGCATACTTGCAGTAGGAGGCTGAGTTCTCAGCCTAGTGCCCTTTTAACAACTATTTCAACATGCTCCCACCTGCCCTTGAGGTACATAAGACAGCAAGCTCCAAGAGCCAGGGGTATTCTCAGGGACAGTGGCAAAGCAGGCACTCTGATTGTTAGGCACAGGACCTCGGGTTTGGGCTCCTTCCACCCTGCCAGATGTCAGTATGTCCTGACAACACGTCCCTACAGTCTTTACCACTCTGAAGACATCTGTTCTTTCCGTGCTATCATATCCCAGACACCCTTAGCTATTCCTCCATGAAATTCCTCCAGTTCTTCCATGAAATCTCTACCCACCCCCCCAGGCCTGATTACGTCCAAGGCTCTGACGGCATTTTTTTGAGAAGTGGAGTGACTATACCATTTTCACACTCATAATGGCAAGAAAGTCTTCAAAGCCAATGGTGCCAGTTCCTTGTTTGTCGATTTCCACTATCATTTGTTTAATTTCTTCTTTCTTTGGCTCAAATCCTAAGGCCCGCATTGCGATCTGCAACAAGAAGGGAATGTATTTTAATATGCCATGATCTCATCTTGAACTGTTAAATCACTAATAGCTTCTTTGTTCTCTAACATGATCTGAGTATAGAGTCAATCCTATTTGACAGAGTATGATCTTCATAATTCTGGGTCTTGACTTAGCTGTCAACCAAGGGCACAATTAAAACGTTAAAAGATAGTGTATTGTTTACTCAGGGTGGTATATGTACACACACACACACACACACACACACACACGCAGAGAGGGGGGTTTCAAATGTCTTTGAGATAATTTCAGACAGAACCTTCAATTCTTTCACATCTATGGTTCCAGACCCATCAACATCGAACAAGTCAAAGGCCTCTTTTATTTCTTGTTTTTTGACATCATTCAATTCAACTTTTGCTGCTTTCTTCTTCCATTGGTCTAAAGTTGTTCGATGGCTGGATGCCTGCAATAAGTATACATGTGGGTGAGAACTATATTACTAGAATTCACAAATGCAAGGATCCCGTTTCCTTCTATAGGATGAGCTCATTCCCTGCAATAAGTATACATGTGGGTGAGAACTATATTACTAGAATTCACAAATGCAAGGATCCCGTTTCCTTCTATAGGATGAGCTCATTCCCTCTCGTTAATGGTTTTGGTTACTAATATCCCCCCACCCTACTCTTTTGAGACAGGGTCTTCCTAAGGAGCTCTGACTGGCCTGCAACTCTGAATCCTCCTGCCTCAGCCTCCTGAGTATGATTATTAATCTCTTGATTGGAAGCGTGGTGTTATTTTTTTCTGCTTCTATTTTCCTCATAAAACCAGTGCCTTTGAAGAGAGAAGCAGTTAATGGCGTAGAACTGTGTGTTGTATCAGAATGCGGCTAGTCTGTGTAGGTAGTCTTGGTTTACCAGAGAAGTGTAAGCTTAAGGAATGTGTGCTTTTCATAAGTCTAACACGATGCATGCTGGGGGAATGCCTACTAGAACACAACTGTTCCTTCCCACTCTCCACAAGCAAGTCCTACACTACAGAAGCACTAAAGTGAGAAACCACGGTCTTGGTGAACAGCTTCCCCACAGATCTAGATGAGAATGTTTGGCTTAATGTGTGGAAGATAAAGATCCTCTCTGCTGTTTGCTTCTGTCTGTCACCAAGTTGAGCCAGAGAAGCACTATACATTCTTCTTCTCTCTGCAGTTAGAAGTCAGGAAGCCCTGGAGGTAGCTGTGGAGCTAAGTGGCCTGCTTTATATTAGTTATTGGCTGAGGTCGCTATGGATTCTTGGCTCTAGAGCTGCTAATTTTGATGCGTGGTCTTCCTAGACCCTAGGGCAGCCATCTGAGTCTGCATTTTCTCAGCAAGAAGAAGGCGGTTCCTTAGCTGTGAGTGGCCTGAGTTGGTGGACCCCTGACCATCAGGACTGAGTCAGTGGCCCTTCCAGTGAAAGAGTTACTGACTCTCTCTCTCATCATCAGTGGCTAAACAGGCGCCCAGCTTCCTGTCAGCGGCTGAGTTGGTGGCCAGCTGGCTGTACGCAGCCCGCAGTTGAAGGCCTCTGTCTCCTTCTTGCATCCCTGTCTTGAAGATCCTGCGGCTCCAGGGCGGTATCTTTACATTCCTCATAGACCGCTGGCGTCGATGGACAAAGGGAAAGGGAGACCCATCTTTGTCCCCTGGCTTAGTCACTAAGGGTATCCAAGGATCCTGGCACGAAAGTCAGCATACTGGGGCAAACACCCGGGTCCCGCAGCACTCACCATGTCCCCAACCCGCTCCCCCGCGCCTCGCAACAGCTGCCCTCCCCTTCCCGGCTGCGGGCGCTCGGGGCGGGCCGTTGCTAAGGCCACGCTCGGAGAGCAAGCCCGCCCACCAGCTTCTGTGATGGACGGCCATTTCACCCAATGGGAAGAAAGGACTGCTCGGACCGGGCGCGAGCTGCGGCCGGGCTGGCTGGGTTCCGGCGCTGCGTGGAGCGGCGCGCGGTGAGGAGGTTCGAGGGCCCCGCAGGCCGGAAGTGCGGCGAGGGTGGGATAGAGAGCTGCGTCTCGCGGGTCCTCAGACCGTCCACACACTGAACCAACCGTCCTGCGGCCTTCCCGCCTCACAGCCGCCCGAGGTGCTGCGTCGGGGTGGGGGGCGGCTGCTCGGCTCACCGCACGGCGTCCTCGCGGGGCGCAAGGTCCCCGTGGACCGTGGATGGCTTGAGCCGCAGGCTTTCTCCTAGGCAGGAAAAATGCAAAGCAGTCGCTTCCTACTGTACTGAGTAAAGCGCTGCACAGTTTCCCAAAGGCGCCGCCTCACCTCGCAGGCACACGTTGTAGTCCTTAAATCTCCTTAGGCTCCTGGAATAGGTAAGTTTATCCTTGCATTAGAAGCCATTTTTCCTGTCTTCAGTTTCCCAATGGGAATTCACATGATGCAGATTCAAAATATTTTGTGAATGAAGTAGTGTTAAATCATTTAGGTATGATCTGTTTGTTTTTCAGGCAGCTCTGGCTGTCCTGGAACCCCCTATGTAGGCCAGTTCCTCAGTTTGAGCACCGATCCCTGCGGGTCTAACTCAGAGAACCATCTGCCACCAAGACCAGCGTAAAAAGAAAATAATGGCAAATTCAGATTCTAATATCTAGATCTTGATTAGGATACCCCAGTCTTGAAAAGTGACTGTTGCTATTCTGTACATAAAACTTTAATAATAGCTGGCAAAATAGTGAAGCCGTACACATTATTAAATTACCAATTTTATCCAGCGCACTCTCCATGTCACAGACCGCGTCAGCTAGTGGCTGAAAGAAACTTAGTAAAAAGTAAATGTTTGATTTGGGGCACTTGATCATTTAGTTACGTTTCTGTTTTTTTCACAGCTAATTTAAGTATCATTTGAAGGAGGAGCTATTAAAATTTTAAAAGCAATTAAAGGGACCCAACTAAGGAGTCCAACGGTACTTGAAAGAGGAATACTAACAATACCATGTCTCTACTTCTTTAATGTTTGTACTTAAATTTGGAATAAGGTGGCCCTTAACAGGTATCTGTTGAATGCCTATAAGGTGTCAGACAGTGTTCTAGATACTTGGGATATTTCAGTGACTAAAATTGTCATCTGGAAAGTTTTTTTCAACAGAAAATGATGGTCTGTGCATAATAAATGTACTGAGCTCATTTTGTGAAGTTTCAGGGGATTAAAATAAAGTGGAGCAGATAAACAGTATCTGGCATCTGGAAGGAAAAAGGGTTTGTGGTTTGCAATAGGTTGAGCAGGGTGGACCTCCCTGAACAGGAAATTTGGGGAAGGATCTAAAGATTGTTAAGGCAGTAGATTTCTTGGAGAAGAGCATCCTAGAAAGAGGGCCACTCAGAAGTGCTGAGGTAGGGAGCACGCCTTGCCTATTCTAAAAGCGCTAGGGAGGCCTGCACAGCAAAGCAGAATAGACAAGTCAGGAAGGAAGAGGTGTGGGTTGTAGTGTATGTGAGCGAGTTCGGGATACTGTCAGATTCTGAGACACGAGAGGGTGTGACTCTCTTGTGAGAGCTCCTGCTGCCAGACAAAGGAGGGAAGACTTCTGAGAGGCTTCCGAGCAGTAGAATGGTGCAGTTAGGTATTCTTGTCAGAAGTAAACTGGAGGTGAACAGACATGGTGCTGAGGATAAAAATTCTAGGTATGTCCATCAAGAAATAAAATATAACTGCTGAAAAGCGTATCTAAGTGTTCTAACCTGGATATTTCACTGCCGTTGCCTTTTTCATACCCAGCCTCTTAGAAATCCAAGCATTCCTATTTTGAGTTTGTGTTAGTGACTAACCCATTGCAACCTCTTCAAAACCATTTAGGAATTCTTCCGAAGTTAGGGATGCTAAGACAGTTATTACTCAGACTTGAAATAGATTCTTCAGCTGTTATAAGATCTGAGTATTAATTTTGATATCTGCTACATATGACTTTTTCCTTGTAGATGGCTGAAATCCGTCCTTTGTCTAGAAAACCCTTTTGTAATATAATTCAATACAGACTGAATTTGAAATACCTGTGGGTTTTTCCTATTGTTCCAGGTTGTGTTTCACTCAGAGAGTGGTGCCTTTTAGTTTAACTGTGGTCTAGGAAGGAGACGATAAGCAGAACTCTTATCACAGCCCCCACCCCCTGTAAAAGAGATGCCTGCAAGTCAAGGGTCCCAGCAGGGCTTGGAAGAAGGCAGAGGGTCTGGGGAAATGAAGATGCTAAGGGAGAGGGCATAAGTCAGGGCGGGAGGGAAGCAAAATGTGGTCCAAGATCAACACCAGAAACTTGGGCAGGGTTATACGGGGCTTTACCTTTCTATTTAAGCTTAGGGGATTTTGTAATTACTTTTTCTTTTTTTTTCATTTTGAGACGGTTTCTCTGTGTGGCCTAGCTGTCCTGGAATTAGCTCTGTAAGCCAGGCTAGCTTTGCACTCACAGAGATCCATCTGCCTCCTCCTGAGTGCTGGGATTAAAGGCATGTGTCACCACCGCCTGGCTAATGTTAGGAGATTTTGTACGTGTTAACTGTCATGCTTGATTTTCCACAAATAGGTTAATTATTTTAGTTTCGGCCTTGTATTTTTGTTGTTATTGCATTTGGGATATATGTCAAGCATCTCATACAAGGTAAACTCTAATTTTGCTAGCCATGAAAAATAGCCAGACTTTTAAACTTGTCCTTTCAACAATTATTTCTCCATCAACTAGATTTTCATGAAGTGAGAAATAGACTGTCTCCAAAAATCAGCCTGTGGCAAATTATAAATGTAAAGAAGAGAACAGTATTTAAAGCAGAAATTTCATGGCTTCAGAACTTAACAGGCAGTTATAGTTTTGCAACAATATGGTGTTGGCATAAAATGATTACATCCTCTAAGGCAGTTACATTGGCAGCCCAGAAATAAACCCTTGTATGTATAGCAAGTTCATTTTTGATAAAGGTACTGAGAACATACAAGTGAAAGACTAGTTCATTTAACAGGAGGTACAGAGACAGCTGGATAGTCACATGCAAAAGGACCTCCCCCTCATACCATATATAAAAGTTAGTCTCAAATCAATCAGTAGAATAAATAATGTATAGAATTCTGAAGAAAACACTGGGTTATATATGTATGATTTAGCGATGCATTCTATATATACCACCAAGAGCATGAGCAACAGCACCAACAAATAAATGTTAAATTTTGCCAAAACTAAAAATTTTTATGAGTCAAAATGCCTTATCAAAACAGAAAAGACATCCTATAGAACAATAGATTGTACTTGCAAATCCAATAGGGTAACCCCTCAGTGTCCATAGGGGAATGGTTTGAGACTCCACTATGGAAAGTAACATCTACACATACATAAGTGCTTTACATAAAATGGTGGAGTATTTAAATCTAGCATATACACATGCTTAGATATATATTGTCCTTAAGATTACTATAATAGTAAACTAAGAAAATAAATGCTAGATTCATAGATGATACATTGCTTAAGGAATGATGACAGAATATGTGTTACATGTTCAAAACAGATGCAGAGTTCATTTTTGTGTTTTTCAAATATTGTCTTATCAGTGGTTGGTTGGATCTGTGAGTGTGAGATTGGCTGTTGTTTCATAAGGATTTACTATCTAACGTGTGTAAAGAATATGTACAACTCAACAACACAAACCTTTAATAACGTACTCTTAAAATAAGCAGAAAACTTCAATAGACATTTCTCCAAAGAAGATATACAAATGTCCAGTAGGCCTGTGAAAACATGTTTAGGTCATTAGTCATTAGGAAAATGGAAGTCAAAACACGATGAACTATCTTTTTACATCTGCTAGGGTGTTTATAATTTTACAAAAGCAAAACATTAATTGTTGAATATACTAGTGACTGAATAGCATGCTCTGTCTCTGTCTCTCTCTCTCTCTCTCTCTCTCTCTCTCTCACACACACACACACACACACACACACACACACACACACACACACAAGTCATATCCACCCAGGATATAGTCTTTGTAGATGGAATTAGTTAAGATGAAGTCATACTGGATTAGGGTAGGCCGTAAGTCCAATAACTGGGGGTGTAATTAACAAAAAGGACAATTGAAACAGGCAGAGACTAAAGTTATGCAACTAAAAGCCAAAGAATGCCAGGAGCAACTAGGAGTTGGAAGAGAAAAAAGGATCCTTCCTTAGAGTTATGAGAGGAAGCACTGCCCTGCAATGTCATCATCTCGGGAATATGAATGTGTATTGTTTGAGCCTCCTGACGATTTTAATTTTGAATAGCAGTCCTGGAAAACTAATGCAGTAAAAAATGTGGAGAAATCAAAACCTTTGTTCATTGCTACTGGCAATGCTCTACTGTTTGGGAAGACATCTGGGCAGTTCTCTAAGCTAAACATAGAATACCATATGGCCCAGGAATTTCACTTCTAGATTTATAGCTAAAAGATGTGGAAGCGGGTTCAGAAATGCACTTTTACAGAAATGTTCACAGCACCAACACAAAAGTTCAGTAGCTAAAAGGTGGAAACAACCTAAAAGTCTAGCAGTGGATAAATAGATGTATAAAATGTAGTACCTACCAAGGAATATTATTCTACTAAGAAAAGCAGTGAATTATTGTTAAATAATAAGTGTGGGAGAACTCTTTAAAAAGTACTAAATAAAATGTAGAAAGGTCATATATTTCATAACTCCATTTATATGAAATACCAAGAATAGGTCAAAACAGATTAAAAGCAAATTAGCAGTTACCATTTACAGAAGGAAACAGGGTTACTGCTTAGTAGAGTAGCTTTCAGGTTTTCTTTTGTGACTGTTAAATCTTTTGGAGCAAGGTAGAGGCAGTAGTTATATAACATTGTGAAAGTATTAAATCTAAGTTGTATTCTTTAAATTAAAATCACTTTATTTCATCAAGGTTATTAGTCTTACAAGGTAAGTAAGATAAAGTCAAAGAGAGGCAGAGTATTTGAGGATATGATGTATGGAATGATTGGAACCATTGATAAATAGAACTTAAAATTTAGTGGGGAGATGGTATTGCAGAAGGAGGTGAAGGACAGAAACAGTAAGACCAGACAGATGTCGCCTCTCAAGGCGGTAGTTTCATTATAGATGGTTTTTCAGTTAAAAACCTAGCTCCGATCCCAGTACTTAGGAGGCAGAGGCAGGAAGATCTCTATAAATTCAAGGCCAGCCTGGTCTTCCAAGACAGCCAGGGCTACACAGAGAAACCTGGTCTCCAAAAACCAAAAAAAAAAAAAAAAAAAAAAAAAAAAAAGAACAAGAAAGTACCATTATTTGAAAACTTTTTAGTATTGAACTAATAGTCTTTCTCTTGGTGGTATTCATTTTGATGTGACTTCTAAAATATTTTCTTGAATAATTTTAATTGCCCTTTAAATAGCACCCTTTTTTCCTTCATAATGTAATCAGTACCCAAATCTTTGTCCCCATTGTCTGACTTCATTTTTCTTAGGATGAAGTGGTCAGTCCAAACTCACCAGAATGGTAGTATATCTGAACACACATAAAACTGTGCTAGGCACTGTTCTGAGCACCGTCTTCCCCACACTAGCCGTGAAGTAGCTTGTGTATTAGTTGCATTTTCCAGATGTGCAAAGTGAAGGGCTACCCACCTGTTAGCTGTGGACCAAAGTTGAAGCCCGGGCTTCTAGACTCAGAAGTACAAGCTTTCAAACACTACAAGTCGTTCTTAATCTCAACACGAGTGGTTCCCATTGTCGGATAGCATGAGATGTCCTCATAATCCAACTCCTCTTCTGCTGGAGCCTCAGGTCCTTCAGCTCCTTGTCAAGTATGCTATATTCCCATAATACCAGGCTTCTTGAATAACTCCTATTTTTGCTTTTCTTTTTTTTAACATATTTGTACATTCACTGCCACTCCTTCGGCTTGCTGGCTCAGCTTGCACAGTTACTCTGCAAGATGACATGATGGAGCACTCCTGTAATTCCAGCACTCTCAAGGTGAAGACAGGGTGATCACAGATTTAAGATTATCCTGAGCTACATAGGAAGATCCTGTCTCAAAAAATCACAGTACAAGTATGTTCCAGGTCTCTTTCTTCAGATTGCCTTCTGGAAGCCTTCCTTGCCTGTCTTGTGCTCCTCTCCATTTCCTCTGCCATGTGGAGTGGTCAACCCTCTCTACACCACCCTGCCCCCATGCCCTTATGTTCCTCCTCTGCATCTCACGCTGATCATAGCAATTGGAACTTTATCCAAAACTGTTTTCTTCACTTTATGTAGCACTTGTCGTCATCAATCACCCAGTAAAGTTTCAAGTGTTCATTTATTTGCAGATAATTACCCGTGATGGCTCACAGAGTCATAAACAAAAGAAGACACGTGGGACTTCAACAACTTTCATCATTTGCACAAACCGGAAGGAGTTTCCTAGGCCCAGTAAAAGCCACCAAGTTTATTACAGATTCTGAGTGTCATGAAAGTGTGTTAATCAGCTCAACAGTCAGGCTTCTTGAAGGTTTGGATTTAACCTGTGCAGTGGGGCAGCTTCTCAATGAAGCAGTTCAAGCACAGAATGGCACATACAGAATTGGAACCAGCACTCTCTTGTTTCTTGTTGGTGCGTGGAGCAGAGCTGTTGAAGAATGTCTCCATCTGGGTGTTCCCACTCCAGTAATAGTGTCAGTAATGACCGAAGGCTTGACTTCGTGCATTGAAGCAGTAGTTCCCCTTCAAGTACCCGTATACAATGTATTTGACCACATGGACAGCACAAGTATAGTTGATGTCAGCTTGTGTCCTTTTCCTTCAGATCCTGGGTTGTTAAAGGAAAAGCGTGATTTCAAAGATGCTATATCTCAGTTATTATCCACTTACAGTCTTTCTGGGAGGCATGCAGAATCACCCAAATTCTTCAGAACTCAGGCTAAGGTTGAAACAGAAAAAAACACACCACAAGCTCTGCAAAACGGCCTATCTACAGATTCCTTCTGCAGAAAGTCAGCATTAACTCACAGTAGGCATTTTAGCAGGACAGATAATAGCCACTGGATAAACAGACCTGATGGATTTCTAGAACAATGTGGATTGACTCCCAGAACTTCTAGATGTAATGATTTGGTGGAGTTAGCAGTTGGCTTGAGCCATGGAGACCACAGCAGCATGACATTGGCAGAGGCCGCTGTGCGGCTGCAGTGGCAGAGTGTGTCCCTGCGGCAAGCCAACTCTAAGACACCGTTTATGTTTGATATGTCAAGAATCCTCACTTGCTGTCTCCCGGGCTTACCCGAAACCTCTTCTTGCGTTTCTTTAGGATATGTCACTGTTGTACCCATGTCTAGTATTGCTCTAATAAAGGAATTGCAGGGTCAGCCTTTCCGGGTGATTCTCATCGAGGGTGACCTCACAGAGAGTTACCGCCACCTGGGATTTAATAAGTCTGTAAATATTAAGACCAAGTTAGATAGTGGGAAGCTTCCGGAAGATAGTGCAGAAGAACTGTGGACTACAAGTGTGTTGCAGGTGTTAATCCAGTTCGATGTGAATCTCATCCTGGTACAAGGAAATGTATCTGAACACCTAACTGAAAGATGCATGCAGAGTAAGCGACTGGTAATTGGTTCAGTGAATGGCAGTGTGTTACAAGCGTTTGCAGAGGCTACAAGAGCAGTGCCAGTAGCCTATGTTACACAAGTGAATGAAGACTGTGTGGGCAGCCAGGTCTCTGTGACTGTCTGGACAAGTCCTCATGATATAAACAGGGCCAACAGAATGGCAATCATGTTAAAAACAGAAGGAATTAATTTGATTACAGCAGTACTCACTAGCCCAGTAAGTACTCAGATGGAAACCAAGAAAGACAGGTTTTGGTCTTGTGTGTATCGCTTATATCATGCCCTAAAAGAGGAGAAGGTCTTCCTTGGAGGTGGTGCTGTTGAATTTTTATGTCTTAGCCATCTTCAAATTCTAGCTGAGCAATCTTTAAATAAAGAAAATCGTGCTTGTTCAGGATGGCTTCCTGATTCTTCCTCTTGGATGGCCTCATCTCTGTCAGTCTACAGACCTACTGTGTTGAAGTGCCTGGCAAGTGGGTGGCATGAATACCTGTCAGCTGTCATGTTTAACACTGCCACTCACCCATCAGCAGTGGAAGCCAGCACGTTCATTCAGCATCATGTACAAAATGCTACCAACTCTGGTTCTCCTTCATCTTACATCTTGAGTAGATGTAGTAAACTAAGCAGTGGACTTTTTCATTCAAGTATTTCAGATAACCTGGAGGTAGTTCAAAAAGTTTATGATACTGTTACACCAAAGACTGAAGCATGGCGCCGAGCATTGGATTTAGTGCTCTTAGTACTTCAGACAGACAGTGAAATAATTACTGGACTTGCCCACACACAGATAAATTCACAGGAATTAGATGGAGTTTTATTTTTGTAAGGTTAGTTAAATCTTTGGGAAATAAACTATATTAATACATTTTCAAGTATGTGTGTGTGTGTGTGTGTGTGTGTGTACATATGCCCAAGGAGGTGGATCCCTTAGAGCTGTAATTATAGGTTTATAGATAGGCCACCCATTGTGGGTGCTGAGAACCCACTATGCAAGAGCAGCAAACACTCTTAATCTTTTAGCCATTTCTCCAGCCCTAATAAATGTTTATAGTGAAATTATAATTTGTAAATTACTAATGATTGCCAAGAATGAGTTGATATCTATCAATAACTGCAGTTCTGGATTTTACCCTATATAAGCTAACAAATTAGCCTGTTACTGTTTTCACAGGTGCTATAGGATACAGGTGCTATAGGCAGAGAGCTATTGCTGTTTGCAGCAGAATCTGCATTCAAAGTGTTGTATTTTTTTTTGTCATTTCCTTGATCTGTCTGTCCCACAAGAACAGCACAGAGGGCCAGTGGCAAACACTGAACTTGTGATATTTACTGCTTAAGCAAAAACAAACCCACTTATTTGTTCAACAGGAGTGATTACATCCTTCAACATTGCTTAAGTCAAACCAGCCATGGACAGGGGCTAGATAAAGATTGTCCAAGGCCTTATATTCTTTGCATGTACAATAAGTATAGAGATGTTGTCTCAGTTACTTCTCTGTTGCTGTGATAAGATTGTGACCAAGGCAACTCACAGAAGAGTGTTTAATTTGGGTTTATGGTTTCAGAGGTTTAGAGCCCGTGATGACACAGCAAAGGCATGGTGGCAGTAATATCTGAGAGCTCACATCTTGATCCACTAGTAGGAGGTGGGGAGTTGTGGCGGGGGAATGATACAAGTCTTGAAACCTCAAAGACCTCACTCAATGTAACACACCTCCAACAAGGCCGGCCACACCTCCTAGACCATCCCAAACAGTTCCACCATGCCTGCCTTCTTTCCATTAATTCTTCAAGCACATCTTTACAGGAATTTTTGTCTTTCCTTTTCAATCCCTACAACCAGTATAGTCATTATTAACGTTTAGGGGATGGTTTTCCAAGGCTTCTTAAATGTATATGCCTGTGTAAATACATTTTGACCCCAAAGAGGCATCACTGGGCATACCACCAAATTGTCTACTGTGGATTAATCTATTCAGCAATTTACCTAATATTCTTAAGAAGAGTTCAGTGGCGTCACTATCACTCCTCACCATTACCTGTTTATGTGAGGTTCTCTACCTTAAACAGCCAGTTCCCATTTGGAAGAACAAGTCTTTCTGTCCCACCAGCCTGCTCCCAGATGAAGACATGAGACTTCTTATTAGTTGTAAAAGCTGAGCCTATAGCTGAGGCTTCTTCCTAACTCTTATAATTTAAATTGACCCATGTACATTGATCTGTTCTATCACGTGGCATTGCCTCTCTGCCATCTTGCACCCCATTTCCTCTGTGCCCCTGGCTTCTGTGTGCCTAGACTCCTCCTCTTCCTTTCCCTGGAAATGCCACCTATACCTCTTGCCTAGCTGTTGGCTGGCCAGCATTTTATTATACCAATCATAGCAAATACTTTCACACAGTGTACAAATATCCCACAGCAGAGGATGAAGAAAGATCTTTGCAACTTTAAGACTTTGTTACAGTCTCGTAAAAGCTGTTAATTCACCTAGGCTTGTATATATGTAACTCATGTGGACTTTATCTTGGTAGACCATATGAATTAAGAACCTAAACGTTTGCTAAGTGTTTACCTACAGTATTAAGTTTTATCGCCCATTCAGATAATTTTTAGCAATGAGACGGAAATACTAGGGGCATGGAAGCTCACATTCTCATTTTTATCCTTTTTAGCTGGGGAGTCATAATGTTCAGCTACCTATTTGTTTATGGCCACCACAAATGCAGTACAGCACAAAACAGAGCAGTGTGTTAATGAAATGTTAACATAGCAGAAACATGAAGGCAGCCTCTCTTGTTACTCTCCTGAAGCTGTACTTAGAACACTTGATTCCATTGGTCCTTTGCTCTAACAAAAAACAAAACAAAACAAAACCCTAGTGAGGCCTTCTTTCCTTGGACCTGCAGGTGGCAGGCTTTCTCTCCAGTGGTCCCCAAATTTGCAGATCATGTTTAAAACCCTCAAAATGAAAGACTGTTTCAGAGCAGGGTAACACCAGTCTGCAGGACATTTCCTGCACAGGGGGCCCTGTGGGCAGTTCTTTCTTTGTTCCTGCACAGGGGGCCCTGTGGGCAGTTCTTTCTTTGTTCCTGCTCTAGAGACCTTCCTCGCTGTTAGCAAGGGTTGACTTGGGAAAGTGATTCAAGTTCTCTCAAACTACTCCCAGGCCTTTAAATGACAGTTGATTTGGCATCATTCTTAGAGTGATCCCCAGCTCTAATGTTGATTTAGTTATAGTAAAGCTCATTTAAAAGGATAAAAATGTAGCTTTGTTTTCCTTAAATAAAGCCAGACTTGAAAATGTGAGTGAACTTAATGCTGCAATATTTGGAGGCTAGGAGCTGAACTTGGGACTTCTGGAGAGTCAGAAGTACTCTTAACTGTTGAGCCCTGTGTGCCCCTCCAGCAGGTATTGGATAATTGCATGATATATTCTTACTATAAAATGGTCTTTTGTGTTAAAAGGTTTTGTCTAGCTGTAAGGTAATGCATACCTTCTGAGCATGGTTAGGCAGAGCTCAGTTATGGTTGCTAGCAGGTTAGATTTTTCAATGCATACAAAGCTGCCAGTTGCTGTAATTCATTAAGATGGAACCCATTGTAAGTAAAGGACATCCATCCTGTGTAAAGAGCTAAACCTTCCCTTTACTCCCATAGCAGCAAATGACAGGAACATTTCCTAAGGGCCGAATGCCAGCTCTGACTTCCACGTCTGTATTTGTCAAATGTGAAGTTGTGCCTATTAGTCTGCAATACCTCACTTAGTCTATTTCAGACTATCCTGACATTTGTTTGACTTTTCTGGATTTTTCCCCATCTTTCTTGGTAATTGCTTTAGAAAAAAATTACAGTGTGTATAAAGAAGAATGTCTATGAATTAAAGAAAACTGAGATGTCCCTGACCTAGTACAGTGTGACTTGTTGCCCCAAAGAGGGTAGGACTGTTTCCTGTGTTGACCTCTTGAGCAGGGGGTGGGAAAAGCTACTTCCTAATATGTTTCTACTTTGGAATTAATGTCAGATTAGAACTAAGACAAGCTAGGTGTAATAGTACAATTCCAGCCCTCAGGAGGCTGAGGCAGGGGGCACATGGGCTACATGAAAGATCTTGTCTCCAGGAAAAAAAAAGGATATAATACATTTCCTTTATCTCTTGGTCAAATAAAATAATCACAAGTTTCCTAAAGTGTCTCAAGAACAAGGCACTGGAGAGGCATCTGTCTCACTATAGATCTCCAGACCCAGAACCTGACTCTTGACAGGAGCCTCCTGGTCAGGTAGGGTTTCTGCAGCAGCTCAGGCATGGCTGCAGCAGGGTTACCTGGGGAGCTCTGACAGCTGCCCATGCACCATTGCCTTTCTTATTCTAGGGAGGGAGTGCACACCATTGATTTGGGGGGTTTGTTTCTGTTTGCTTTTAAGACAGAGTCTTGGGTATCCTAAGCTTCTTAAACTTTGATGAGTAGGTAAGGATGACCTTAAACTAATCTTGTCTCCCCCTCCCACCAAGTGCTGGGAATGTAGATTAAGTCTCAAATTTATCTGACCAGCTGCCATAAGGTCCTAAAAGAGAACTGATTTCAGAGTCGGCCCTTTATCTGAGTTCCAAGAGACATTCTGCAACCTTCTCGGTCAAACATTCTGATATTACATGTTATATACTATGAAAAGTTGCCCTCATGTCTCAGGAAACTTTGCTGTGTTATGCGTTAAGGTGGAATCTTGGTCAGTCTCTCCTTCGTTATCAGAGGAAGGTTGAATTTGTTTTAACTGTCTGTCTTTCCAAAGCACAAATCATGAATATTTGGGCAAGGTGATCTCAAAGTTAGTTCATCTTGTACCCAACACCCGGTAAGGACTTAGACCAGGCAGCTCCTAGAATTTGTCTTACTTTACTAGTTTCCTCCCACCCCAAGACAGCTACTAACACGGGCTAGCCCTTTGGCTCAGAAATAAAATTATAGAAATGGTCTCAGTGTGTTTATTAAGATATATTATATACTGTAGCATTCTCCACTTTAAATGCACAGTTGAGTGATTTTTAGCACCATTGAACAACCACCATTAATCCTAGAATGTTTCCATCTCCCTCCTCACCCGATGGAAGCTTGTATTTATTAACAGGTAGGCCATCATTATGGGGCAGGGCACTCTTCTGGGTGTTTTTGCCCAGCCTGAGGCTCCTGCACTCCACATGCTGTGTCAGCAGCCAACGTGTTTCAAAGAAAGCCCACAGAGCCCAGTGAAGCTTTTTCTAATTGTGTTTCCAAACAAAGTGCCAGTGGTTTTTGGTTGGTTGATTGGTTTTGTTGTTGTTTGGGTTTGTTTAAATGGTTTTTTTCTTCTTTTTGTTACACACTAGTATTAGCCACAGACAGGAAAAAAAAGTACTACTGTGAGATTATGTATATGGCTTAGTTGGCAGAGTGCTTATCTGGTATATATGAAGCTCTGGTTTCCATTTCTGCTTGTATCTATTTTTTCAACTCTATAAATCAAAACAAGAACAAGATAAAACTTGGGGATCCTTGGATTCCCACATCAAGTATATGGTTTATTTCTCTCATTGTTGTGACCAAAAGGCCTTACAAGAAGTATTTTGACGGAGGGTTTGATTCGGCTCTACCAAGGTGGAGAAAATACAGTGGAGTTCATGGTGTAGATGGTTGGAACTCATACCTTGCTGACTAACAGCCAGAGATACTGGCTAGTGGTGGGGTGAAGCTGTAACCCAGCAGGCTGGCTTCCCAACCAACTTGCTTCCTCCAGATGCGTTCTGTGTCCTAAAGGTTCCACAGCCTCTCAAAGAGCACTACCACCAGGGACCAAGGGTTAACCGACAAGCCTCACATCCATAAAGCATGGATTCTTGCT